CTAGTAAAAAAATAACAATAATAACCATAGTAATAATAATCATGATAACAACAATCTCAGTAGTAACAAGAATAATAGTATTTGTAAAAAGTGTAATAAAAGCACTCTATCAACTCTCGGCTCGGCCAACCGGACGGGTTGGATAAAGCCTTTGGGTTTTGACAACCTGCAGCGATGTTTTGCCACCCGCCCTGCAGCGATTTAGGGTTTAGGGGTTATGCACTAAATGAAGTACATGGGTGATTGTCAAAATTATGGTCCCTTTTTGGGTACCCTAATTATTAAGTGCCATATTATAATAAGGACCCAAAAAGGGGCCATACTTTTGACAACCACCCACATGCATCGGGATCAACCGGCCCGGACGGCACCATACCGCACAGGCCCACCCAGCTGGGCCCATCAAGCAAAGCATTGGAGACCACAGAAGCAAAGCAACAAGTTCAGAAACATGTGCGACCGGAAGCAACATTGGTAACAGTAACATTTAACAATGCGAATGAGAATCATGATAATAAAAGCAGTAGTTCGCCTAAGAACAACAGTAGTAACCGTACGAGTTAAAAAGTGGCAGTAATGGAAGAGCACAAGCTGACGACTGAGGATGTGGACACCAACCCCAAAAAAACAATCCTAAAAAAACAAGCGAACATGTTTCAAACCAGTGGAGTCATGAGCTGCGGATTGGATTAAGGGGGTTGGGTACTGCCTCCACCCTGTAACAGTCTAGATTAGGGGGTCATATACAGGGCCGTGTAGAATTACTTTAAACTACTAGGAGGTGCTTTTAAGCCTTTGAAAAACACTAGTAGGTAAGATCCTCTTAAGCCCAATAAGAGCAAACATAATAAAATGTCCCAAAGCCCTACTAAACTATGCCATGCAGAATATCCAAGTGTTACAGGGTGGGGCAGCGCCCAGACTTAGGGTTGATGGGGTTTAGGGTTTCCACGCTCACACTCGCATACAGCAGGCAAGGCTCCACATGGTTTAGGGTTTAGGGTCTTGGGTTTTGGGTCTGTTTTGGGTTTAGAAAGTTTAGGGTTTTGGGTTTTGGGTCTGTTTTGGGTTTAGAAAGTTTAGGGTTTTGGGTTTAGGCACCTGGACGCCGCTCGGAGTTTGAGAAAGAAGGGGTACTGGCGAGTCCCACCACCACGGAATGTGGGACCTACGTTCGTAGAGTCTTAGTTCCTGAGTTCAGAAGCCCCCAAACGTGTATTCTTTTGGTTTTATGGTGGGTAATACTATCCCAAAAAGTGTAAAGTGTATCCACTCAGCTACTAAGGAGTGCTTCCCCCTTTTGCGGCGCAGCTACGTGAATTGTGACAGAGTGTTTCGATGCTCCTCACGACATCCAGCGGTTTCCCAGACCCCCGGGAGGATCCAAAAAGTAGATGCCTTAATGGGGGTTCCTATAAAGTAGCCTTTGTAGTATACGGCCCCCAAATTCGGGGATCTACTTTCAAGATCCTCCCGAAGGTCTGGGTTTGCAATCCCCAGCACTAAACCCACATCCAAAAGCAACACAACGGAACAACACACAAAGTAGACCCAGAAAAAACCCGCCCTGCACCCAGCCCGAAGTCTTGGCTTGAGCCCCAAGCAGCAAACTCAAAAGGCCCTAAGGCCCTAAGCTGATGGGAGGCCAAAAGGGGGGTTTAAGATTCTTGGGGTAGGGATTCCTTAATATGAACCCGATTATGGGAACCCTAGCCCCTACTAAACCCCCATATGCTAAAACCCCTTTTGGCCTCCTATGATAAGCCCCACAAGCCCTAAACCAGCTGTCAGCTTGCGGCGGGTTGCGAGCCCATTCGGTAAGACCACACGCTGTCCTGCCTGAAGGCGCCTGGAACGTCAGCAACTCGCGCTTTCGGGCGGCTAGGGCTTCAGGGCTTAGGGTAAGGTTGGAGGTCTTTTGCCTTCCTCGGGGCGCTCTTCGTCGGGTCACAACTTGGGTTGTTGTGGATGAGGGTCCCCACGAAGCTTATCTTATGCAAGAACTTAAGTAATTTGAGTCCGTTTTCAACTACATCAGACGGGATCGCAGATTTGAGCACTCTCCCCGAGCCCTCCGAAGCTAGGAACGACCATGAACTAGGGTTTAGGGTTGCAACAACCCAACGGGGACACCGACATGGGCAGTGGAGCGCACAAGTACGTGAACGGCAGCAGGAAAAAGCATCGGCGTGACGACAACTTTGGCGAAATCCAAAAAGCCCTCAATTGCACAACTCCGAAGTACTCGTCGCAGCACGACTGACGATAAAACACCCTAACGGCTCCAACCAACAAACGAACGCATCTAACATTTCCCAGAATGTTGCACCTTATGGGCGAGCTGTCGCCAACCTGCGCAGCTGCAGGCATCTCCTGGACTTCAGGAGTTTGATACGGGGGCCCTTGTTAATCAGCATAGGGTTTTGGGGGTGTTTAGGGGTTAGGGTTTTGTTTTGGGGGTATTTTCTACTATAGGTATAATTCGGTATATAAGAAGGAACCCCCCACAAAATAGTGGTAATTATTTAGGCCTTTGTAGTAGGAGCTTTCGAGTTCATTCCCCGGGGGCCTTCATTATGCATGCGACGAAATGCAAGCAAGGGGCAGATTAGCAAGGTTGAGATTTTCTCAATGGGGTGGGATAGTTACTAGTAGCCCGGCACAGTCCTTCTCATGATAGCATGGTGTGCTCCCAAATAATCACCCCTCTTCAACGAGAACTACTGGCAACGCCTGGGCTTATATCTATGGGGCTTAAGACTATAGGGCTAAGGGCATTAAAACCCCTGATCCTTACAGCGATCCTAACCCTAATCCCCAACATCTCAACGCTAAACCCCTAACCCTAAATCCAAAATCCAATCTTGGAGCAACAACTCATCATCGCAAATCCTTCTCTGTGGTGCTGGAGGGAAGGAGCAAACAGCCCCCAGGCGGACACGCACTTCGATAGGGCTTAGCCGTGACGCTGCGCTGCAGCTGGAAACAATAAATGACGAGAAGAAACTTACCGTTGGTTAATAGGAAATGGAAGAATAGTAGTTATATGATAGTAATATGGTAGTAATATGGTAGTAATATAGTAGTAATGGTAGTTATAATTGTACCCCATTCCTCCATTCCCTGCTAACCAAAGGTAAGGAAATCGGGATGCTCTGAGAGCCACGGATGAGATCTGTTGCAGTCGCACATGCGGTCCTCGAGATGTGAGACGCGACTCAGCTTGAAACACTTTGCAAACAGAAATCACCCCTGTAAAACACACACAAACTCCTCGATGTCTGGCCAAGTGCGTATAGACTGCAGCCTTCCCCACGAATGCCAGAAACTCTTCCACCCACCCCTAAACCCCAAACCCTAAACTTCTAAAGCTCAACCCTGAACCCCTTTAAACCCTCCCCCCGAAACCCCTAGACCCCGTAAACCCAACCTCAAGCCGCTTTCCTTTTCATGCTTGGGGGCACGTCTGCTATGCCTGGTCTGCTCGCCAGGCCATGCGAAGATCCACGGCAACAAGTCTCCGAAGGACATCTCTGGTGACAGTGCTATACTGAACTTAGAACCCTAGCAAAAATTATGATTTTAGCTGCTTCTTAAGGATTATAATAACCAAAAATTAAAACTATTTCTAAGTACTCCAAAGACTGATGTAGTTATAGTTATCGGGTTTAGAGTTGAGTGTTTCGGGCTTCAGGTATAAAGTTTAGAGTTTTAGGGTGATAGGGACCATAATAAACGGAATAGGGTTTAAGGGGTTACACGGGGTTATTATAGTTTAGTATACTTATACTGAACTCCAATGACGCATATTTCTATTTGTTCACGTTTTTACAGTAACAGTCCAACAACTCAGCTTCACGCTTCGTAAGCAGCCGACGGCACAGTTTCTGAAGGCCCCCATCTAAAACCCTATAAAGACCTGAAATGCGATAGCAGCGGCTCACGACGACGACATCACAAACACAACAAGTCTTTGCCGTCCCTGAGCGTCTCGCTCAGATTATTCATGAAAGCGGCGGCCACAGATTAGGGCTTAGAGCTTTCGGAGTTTAGTCCGAGTCTACTAACCCAGTTGCCAAACAACCCCTGCACGGCCTCGAAAAGGCACAGTGCTGGAACTGCAAACACCCTCAACAGTCGAGATGCTCCAGATGAAAATTTCGTGGATACTGCTCTCACTATACAGCCGCTATATGCGGACGGAGCTGCATGAGCGTTCGTTCAGGCGCAGCCGACAAGAAAAGTGCCGATCCCGCTGAGATCGTCGGAATCTATCCACCTCTCGAAGAAACAAGTTTCAGCAGAGGGCATGGGTGCATGCACAAAAATCTCATGGTACTCGTGCAAGGGCTCCACGGCATAGCCGCACCTCACATGCATCGCAGCGGGCTGGTCCAGGTGAACCCATCAAGAAGGCGCATCTCTGCCGGTAGAGGCTCTGGGCAAACTCCGTGCATGTAGCCGGCGCCCAGAAGTAAGGTTATCCTGGGTCGGCCCATCACTTTAAAAAAAGGCAAAAACTGCTCAAAGACTGGTAAGTTCAGGGAAGAACTAACAGATCCCGGTGTGCTAGCTGGCATCAGCACCAAGGAGAAGTACGTGGCCGGAAGCATGAACGTCGCCGTCTCCCAGAAGTCCAGGTTGCCCGCGCCATGCAAAGACAGCGGCGGCGACTTCCATGTAACCCCGACCTTCGCAGCAGTCGAGGCATGTCTACTGTATAACAGGTGCCCTTGTACTCTGCTTTTGTATTTCCCAAGGCCCTAGAGGAAAAAACATGAACATCCCGACCTTGTCGATACAGAGGATCTGTCGCGGATGCAGGATGGGCTGTGCAGCATAGTCTTCGCGAAGAGCTTCACGCCAGAAACTGTTCGGCTGGATCCCAAAACTGATAGCCAAGTCCTCTGCGAGTTCTGCCACCACAGATGCGACGATGAGGCATATGGACTCAAAGTTGAACGCAGACGCGGCCCAATGGCCCGTGATGAAATCTGCCGTCAAAAAGGCCAGGACGGACACATACTGTGCATAGCCTGACAAAACCTTTGCCTCCTGATGTAGAACCTTGCTAAGCCTGGCAGCAATGTCCTGGACAGGGCGGGGCACATGTATGTCAGGAAACTGAGGCTGCAGTAGCTGCGCTCGAGCAGATTCACGGCCAGGTTGAGAACAAGGTTGAAGGACCACCACCATCCACCATATTGCATGGTGACGGAGAGCAAGCTGATGAGGCGTGCACTCTCGCAAAAAGCGTGCGTCAGTGCAACTGGCACCATGAGGTACTTCCTCTGGTCGCCTAAGATTCGCTTCTCACCCGGACGGCAGCGAACATTGTAAACAAGGCCAGTGTATATCGACGTGGTCATGCAGCTCACAGCTTTTTCGGTCAGATTCGTGGCAAGAGTAAGGAACAAAGCCGCTCCAACTGCCGAGATTGATTGCAGCTGCATGAACACCATGGAGATAAGGTACAAGAAAATCCAACTGCCAAAGGTAAAGAGGACATGGGCGCACGTCCACAACACATGATTGCACTTGTGAACTGGCTTCGCCTCTTCAGAGATAACTTCGCTATGAGAGTCTTCCTTCGAGGATGTCCCAGAGTGGGCCAGGAACCGGTACCATACCAAATGAATGACTGGCGACAACACGGCATAAAACACGGTGCCTACAAAAAACACCAGGGAGATTGGGCGGTAGATCGGCCGGCTGTCGTCCTCGGATGCCACCCTTGAGTTCATGGCGAAAACAGAAAAGAGGCTGCTCGAGAGCAAGCCGCCCAAGATCTTCATTCCCCTCGGAAGCTTAGTGCCTGCAAGGCAATTTGCCCAATATATGCAGTATGTGGCAAACCCATACGGGAAAAGCCCGACGGTGAAAGTGCAGCGCCACCATGGCAACTGTGCCGCGGTGTTCAGTGGCTCAAACACACGCATGGCCGAGCAGTAGACGGTCAAATGCACGAAGCTGTACAGACAAGTCCGCACACAAGTCCACGTACTCATCACTGTCATGGGCTTTGCATCCTCGAAGTGCGCACTCAAATCCAGCTCACGGGCAACCTGGATCGAGTCGCAAGCCGCACTCAAGACGCCAGAAAAGTCTTCTCCGGCAAAGACAACAGCACCAGACATAGACCAAAGCTGATTACCAGAAGTCCCATCGAGGACTTCAATACCTGAAGCACGACCATCAGGGTCCTGCGTGATGGCATAGACCTGGTCTTCCTGCAAGGGCACTATGTCGGGCCCCTGCATGCACACGGCAGATGGCCAGCATCGGTGGGCCGCTCTGAGCTCCTCAACTTCCCCCACATCGGTGCGACTCATACTTGGGGGCTGCCAACAGAAGTTGCGAAGATGGAAGATGCTGCTACGAAGCTCAGACAAGGGGTGCCGGTTCAAAGCAGCCATGTCTGATAGAATTGGCATCTGATGAGTCCAAAGCACACATGCCCGGCCACCTGCAAGCCTCCTCCGGCGTAGGAGCTCTACGCACACAGGACCTGATCCGACGATGATCAGGTTTAGATCCATGAGGCTCACAAGGAAGTGGCCGTCCCAAGAGAACAGCTTGCCAACAGAATCACATGCCCTCTGAGGCTCGGGTCCCAGAATCTCAGATGGCCGGCGTTGTAGGCTAGCCCAGGATCGCATCTTACCCATGGGACTACTAAACCCTAAACCCTAAACCCTAAACCTTAAACCCTAAACCCTAAACCCTAAACCACTATACTCCATGCGTCGTTTGGAAGCCTCTTGGGATGATCACCCGGCTGGGCAGGCACGACAGAGGCCCAGTCATGCTTGGGGCCTATCGGTCGACCCAGGCATTCTGCTTCCATAAAAGATGGGTCGTTTCGACCCTGATGTAGAAAACCTGCTGCCAGGCCCTGCGCCGGCGAAGAAGAATGATAGCTAGACAGTCAATGCTTATGCCTTAGGCATCTTGAGCAAAACATCCTTCAGCCCACATGGATGTAACATCATGGGCTCTGGAGTTGAATGTATGTCTAGCAGTCACGCGAACGCCAGATCGGCCGGCGGATGAATGTCCTTCGGAGAGGTCGAGCGTGGTGAGATCACCTGAGATGTCCATCTCTCGAAGGTTTCAGGTCTTAGGCTTAAGTACTAAGGCGCATTGTAAGTGGAGTTTCCGAAAATTCGGGGTACCTTACTTTGGGGTCCTTATAACAAGGATCCTACTATTTAGGGTCCTATATTAGGGTCCCCTATTGTCGGAATCTCCCATATGATTACCCTCAAACCCTACTCTAATTAGCAAGGCTAGTCTAAAATCCCATTCGACTAAGCCGGTTGGGAGGTGGAGATCTCTATGTTGCGTTTGAGAAGCATGAGCTGCAAAAAGCTTCCAGTTAAAGTGCTGCTGTCATTTATTGTCGTGCTTTCGCTGACTGCGAGCCTCCTATACCTAGTGTTACGACTACGGTCGATGCTACTCTAGGTGGGGGTCTTGAATTTTGACTATATTAGTATGACTTCTGATTGCTTCTGCTTGCCGGCTTCTGCTATACTGCTAGAGCCGAGTCGGTCGTTCAACATGCACTCGCCTTTGTGCGGTCGCCTTCATTGCTTTCGTTTTATTCCATAGGGGGCGAGGGGCTGAACAGATGTTCAAGGATCCTCCCACAAGGAAGGTGCAAAATAACGAACCGTAGTGCATAGCTTTAAAAAAAGCGTAGTGCATAGATTTTTTAAAAACTTAGCACTACGCTTTGTTAAAAAAACTGCATTCAGCAATACTGGCTTTAAAAGCCGGAGCTGAAGCCTGAAGCCTCTAACTACTGCCCCTGGAGCTTCCCTGAACTAGACCCGAAGCCCGAAACCCTATAAAGGAAACTCCAGAAAGTTGGAATATGGATTAATGGTAGGATCCCCTATAATTGACCTTAAAGGGGTTACGATCATGATATTCCAACTTTCTGGCTTCTACTGTAACCTTAAATAAGCCCTGAGCCCTAAACCGAAATCCTAAACCTTACATAGACCCAGAGGCCTAAACCGAAACCCTAAACCTTACATAGACCCTGAGCCCTAAAGAACCCTAACCCCTAAACCCTAGAAAACCCTAAATCCTAAAGAACCCAAAGCCCTAAAAGAACCCTAAATACCCTAAACCCTAGAAAACCCTAAACCCTATAGGCCCTGCACCCAAAGCTGCCCAGATGCGAAGCCGAGATCGGGTTTCGAGGCGCCGCGTGGGCTTCCACCTGAAGCCTCAGTGGGACCCAGAGACTCCAAGATCCCTGAATTAGGTAGGGTTTATAGGGTTTAGGGGTTTAGGGTTTAGGGTTTAGGGGTTTAGGGTTTAGGGTTTAGGTTTTTTTTGGGTTTACGGGTTTAGGGTTTAGGCGATATCCCTGAACTAGAAAATATATACCTAAGTGTTCCTTAAAGGGCTCCTTAAAGGCATGTATAAGCGTTGTAGAAGGGAATTAAAGAAGTCGGATCCTTAATATGATTTAGGGTATGTTCCCTAAAGAAATGGAGCCTCCAGGGAGTTGGCCCAGTGACCGTCGATAGGGTTAAGGTTTATAAGGGCTTAGGGTATGCTGACCAGTGGTTTTGGGGTTCCCTTGGCTCTTTAGCTCCCTATTTAATAGCGATTATCCCCATCCCTGGCTCCTTAGCTCCTCCAATATCAATGGTTAGTATAGGTTCTTTCTTGGAATGTCGAGCTGAAGGTTTAGGTTCTTTGTTCCACGATTTAAGGTTCAAGGAATTAGGACTCGAATCAAGGTTGAAGGGTTTAGGGTTACGGTTTTTGTTATGCCAAGGTTTAGGGTTTCAGGGCTCAGGACTGAAGAAGGACCCGAAAAATTGTTCAGGTTTGCCATGTTTGTTTTGGTTTGGGACCGGAGGCTTCAGGGCCGAGCATACGTCGGCTTGCGGGAACCCAGAGAGCCCAATACCCCTTAATTAAGGAATATACCTTAAATTATAAGGGGGCGCATCATATGATTTAAGGTATATTCCCTAATTAAGGGGTATTGGGCTCTCTGGGAACCCCACGGCTGAGACGCTCACTGCTCCGCCGTTGGCCAGCGTCACCACAGTCTGGGAGCTACTGCGCGGCACCTGGAGAACTCCGGAAGGCCCGAACCGCAGTGGCCCTTGCATTGCTTTTGTTGCTGTTGCTATTGCCGGTCGGCGAGTGCTGCTGCTGCTGGTATTGGTGGTGCGATCGGTGGTTTGTGGTGGTGGAAAGGTTAGGGTGTTGCTGCTGTTAGTCTTTATTTGCTGTGTGCTTGCTGGCACTGATGATGCGTGAAGCTTACGACACTGGCGACAATATTGATGCTTTCGAAGAGGAGTAGGGAAGGGGCACAGGCCGAGAATCGCGAAGATGGCCATGTCTTACAATTGTGGCAGTGGTGGCGGCGTTGGATATGATATGATGGTAATGATGATGATGCTGATGGTCGCGCTGACCATTCGTCTTCTGCTGCTGTTGCTGCGAGTGTCCCTTCTGAATTTGTGGATGCATGTGTGTGTGTGTACATCTGCAATCTGTATGTGTGCATGTCTGTCTGTAGTTAAGTACGTGTGCATACATGGATAGACTGCTGCCTGCATGCATGCATCCATGGATGGAAAGATGTCCATATGAATGTAGGTGTGAGCATCTGTGTATGTAATGTTTGTGTACATGTACATGTGTGAGTATGTGCATACGTATCTGTACTTGTGCGCATATGTGTAGACGTGTATGTATACCACTTAATGAAAACTTGTGCACCTGTGCAAGTGCATCTGTGTAGCAAGGTACGCATGTATCTATCCATGCAGATATGCGTGATTTGTCTGCAAAGTTCTTTGTTCATTTCTGTTAGCTGCAGATAGAGATGCGTGGAATGGAAAACTTGCTTTTGAGGTCATCATGAAGTTGATCCTCTTGCGCTGCCGGCGTCTCCAACTGCAGGCAAGCGGCATCCATCATGCTCATCTCCGAATCCTGAAACATGACACGTACTTCGACAAGGCATTGCATTCCGGTTGACGAATCATGGGTCGCCGCCGGAAACTCAGTATCGTCTGTGATGATAATGGGCAGCAAAGGTCTTTAACTTAATTATCAGTGAGCCAAAGATACTCTTTCCACGCTCACTTTGGAATTTGGGTCGCCTGGAGGTTGCATTGAGAGCAAAGCATCAACCGGGCTCAGATTGACTGGGGGGTCTTCATTGCCGATTAAGGAGGTTCACGGTGGCCTCCTCTCTCTCTCTGCCTCCCTGCCGCTACTTGGTTTCCCAACTGTCTCTGTCTTATGTCATGTCGTCTCTGAACAGAGATTCGGATGAGTCGACACACACCAAAAAGGCGTGCACCGCCAGCGACCGACAGGTAGGCGAATTCGAGTCCGCATGGACTTGTCGGTGAGTGTCCTACCAAATCTTGCGCCGAAGGGGCAGCGTCGTCCAAATGGCGCTGTTGAGGTTTCCCGAAAGCTCTACGACTCTACGAGTACCAGCACAGTATAACAACACCTTGAAGCCAGCACAAACAAAAGCGTCAACGACAAACACCAAGTATAACCGCAAGCCAGACCCCTTTTCCAATCTCAGAGCCCTAAACCCTGATTCCTCCACAACCCAAAACCTAAAGCCATGTAAACCCCAAACCAACCGTTGTGCAGCCCCGAGGAACACAAAAGGTTGTTAAACTCCCTTTCTTGAAGGGCCTTAATATTCATTCATTCAATGCTCCATAACCCATAGTCCCTATAAGCTTTAGGAACCAAATACGACCTATAAACATTCTACAATAGCTGCCTTAATAATTAGAAAAGGGTTTGGGGCCGATTACACTAATTATATTTTAAATATGATAAGGAACCCCTAAGAAAGTGTAGGTAATTGTTTTGGCCCCTATATTAAACATTCAGCCACCAGAAAGGCTCAACAAACCCAGGCTAGCTGAGCTGTCGGCCCGCTGTGACAGGGAGCTCGCGTAGCGCATGGGCACACTGGAGCCTCCCCGTGGCTCTGTTTTCGCCGTCGCTTATAAGTCGGGGGCTTTGAGGCTTTAGAGATGTGAGTCGTGGGGTTTTGGGAATGAATGGTCTCCTGGCTTAGGACTTTGGGCTTTGAGGCTTCACATGCACAGCAGGGTGTTGGTTGTAGGAGTGGCCATTTTGGGCTGGGGGCGGACGTGCTTCCGCCATTGTGATATCCTGGGTCCCGCATACCGGTTTGCACCTTAAAAGAATACATGTTGCAACAGGCCCTGGAGAACCAAGTACAAGGTCTGCCAGTTGTTGTCAGGGTGTGGGGTCTAGAGCTTGGGGGCTGTAGTACTTTAGTAGTGCTCTAAGGCTTTAGATTTTGTGGGCTGAGGGATGTCCATTTCAACAATGCTTCTTGTTGGCTGTCCACTGCTTCGCCAGGATCATCAGTGGATGCACATATAGGAGCGATGCAGCGGGTTTGGAAAGCCTTCCGCATGCGAAACAACAGGTCAAGCCAAACCGGTTTAGGGTTTAGGGTAAACGGTAACCTTTGAGAGCCTCTGCGCAAAGCCGGCAAACGGAAATCGAAATCCCAAACCCGAACATGTCATCGCAGTTCTACTCGGACTGCAGGCGGACAATATTCCTAGCCATTCAGACCCCTAAGCCCTCAACCATCCTAAACCCTGAACCCAAGACCCCTCCATGAAACCCTAAATCCCGAAAGCCCTAAGCCCTAAACCCAAGACTCCTTATAGGCCCTGGATCGTTTCTTCTCGCCGAAAACTCATTCATGGTTGGGATAGCATTCAAAATCAAAACTCTTACTCCTTAATTATTGGGTTTAAGTACCCCCCAAAATAGAAAGATGCTATGCAAAACAATTGAAAGCCGGGTTGCTACTTCCGGAATTGGCACGCCGGACGCCGGGCATCGCACGGAGATTCTGCCGCACCTGGGCCATCTTGCTAAGACACGTTGAAACGGGGCTTTGATAATTATGATGGGGTTTTGGGGTACACTATACTATACCATGTAACAAGATCTAATAAGGAACCACAAACTAGTATTGGCAATGATTCAGGCCCCCTATATTGCCTTGCCACTGGGGCTTAAGGTGCCCATAAACTCCAATATCCCTTAATTCAGGATTATTCCTTAAATTATAGTAGGATCCCTAATATGATTTAAGGAATAATCCTTAATAAAGGGATATTGGGGTCTCTGGGTGTCACGATCCCAGAGCCGAAGCCGGTTGAGGAGCCTGTCGAACCTGGAAGCCACATGAGAATCCACGCCCGTGAAGAAATGAAGGCCGCACATCCCCTGGATCCTGCACGTCGTTATCCCAAAGGGTCCAAGTATCATTATGGCATATACTTATAGGGTAGTTTGGGGGTCTACGTATATACCATAATGATACTTGGACCCTTTGGGCATCTAAGAGGTACACATCCAGTAAGATGCTACAGAACTCCAGCCGTAGCCACTGCACCCCTGCACTGAAGAACTGGAAAACATCAGCACATCTGAAGAAATGCTGGAAATCCTCAACGTCCTACAGCCAGTCAACGGTGACATAGCCCTCAACGACCTTGACAAAAGCTTCTACGCTCCAGGACACACCCGTCTTCCCCAAACCCTGAACCCTCAAACCCTGCTGAAACCCCTTTAAAACAATAAGAACCCTACACTCTAAAACCCTAAAACCCCAAACTCTAAAACCCTAAATTACCTTATACCCTAAAACCCTAAGCTCACCCACTTCCCCCTGAACCGCGGCAGGAGGAACCTGTGCTGAAAGGCCGAAGTCGAAGCCGAGATTCTTGGCCTGCGAGCATGTGGGAGTTTCCGAAAATAGGGGACAATAAGATCATACCCTAAATAGTAGGATCCTTATGATAAGAACCCCCACATAAGGTACCCCTATTTTCGGAAACTCCCATGTGGCCCGAAGTTTACAGCAGCAGGGGTTTAGGGTAAGGACTTAATAAGGCCTATCGAAGGAAGTATAGTTCCTTGCCCCCCTCCCCCCCACCCCCCCAAGGGTCCTTATGAAATAATTAGAATGGGGTTTTGGTGTATGGTTTGCTGCAGTTGTATTGGTAAGGAGCCCTTTCAGTAGTATAGAATAGAGCATAGTACTGGTAACTGCTCCGGCTTCTATCGTAAGCCCTAAACCGGAAGCTGGGTTCTTGTTAAAGGATTTAAGAATTCAAGTCACCTTAGTAACGAAACCATATGGTGTACTGTAGACCCCTATTAATGGTACCTGAAACCTTAAACCTTAAACCCTTATAGATCCCTTATAGATCCCAATTAAATTATGGTAACTTCAAGCAAATTCCGTACAAGAACCCTAAACCCTAAACCCTACCCTAAACCCTAAACCCTAAAGCCTTACAGATCCCTTATAGGAACCCGAATAGAACCCTTAAAGCAACGCTTAATAGATCCCTTGAAGGAGCCCTGAGATCCCGTAACAAGAACCCTACTTGTCGGGTACCATGGGGAACTGAAGGTTAACCTTTTTGGTTATATAGGGGATATATGGGAGTTTCCGAAAATAGGGGTACCTTATTTGGGGGTCCTTACAATCAGGATCCTACTATTTAGGGTACTATATATTTCCGGAAAGTCCCATATAGGGACTATACGTACTACCCAAAAACGGTTAAAGGTTCCCTGCTCGACGACTAGGGAACCCACACAGGCCTCCTCGCACAACGTTCCCCCGCGTAGGGCGATGACCCGAGCCTCCAAGGCTTCCAGCTCCTCAGCTGCTAGCTCTAGCACCCAGAGACTCTAATATCCCTTCAATAAGGAATATTCTTTCAATTATGTTAGGGATCCTACTGTAGTTTAAGGAATATTCCTTAATTAAGGGGTATTGGAGTCTCTGGGGAGTTAGACTAGGGTTCCTTTGAAGAGGTCTATAAGGGCTATTATAAGGATCTAGCTCTTCGAATTTTGGGTTTAGGGTTCCGTTAAAAGTGTCTATAAGGGCTGTTATAAGGATTTAGCTCTCCGAATTTTGGGTTTAGGGTTTTGGGGTTCAGGGGCTTAGGGGATTTAAGTTCCGTTTTTTGTGAGCTCCTTTTCCACGTCCCAAAGGTCTCCGAGAGGGTTTAGGTTTAGGTTTAGGGTTTAGGATGATTTTGAGGATCAGTTCTGCCGGGCTTGATAGGTCAAGGGGCTTTGAAGCCTATAGGGCTTATATTGCGCGGGCCTCAACAATGAGAATGTTTGACGCATGGGGACTACAAGCGGATACTACCACTGCTACTACTGCTACTGCTACTACTGCTACTACTGCTGATACTACTACGACTACAACTGCGACGAGGACTACCACTACGACGACGACTACTACTAGTGCCACCTCGACGACGACGACGACGACGACTGCTACGACGATGTTTGACGACAACGACGACCACCACCACTACCACCACTACCACCAGCAGCAGGACCACTCAGAGCGACAACGACGACAATCGTAGCGGACCAGTGTGTTTCTTGCAGAGGGTGCTACATCCGATACTTCGCAATAGAGCAGCTAGCAGCTACAATCGAACCTTGAAGCCGCCACACACCTCATGAACAGCTCTTTGAATCTTCACTCTGGTATCCCTCCAAGCCATGCCAGCCCGGCCAGCCCCAAACATCAAGACCCTTAGCAAATACACCTTAAACCTTGAAGGAAGAAAGCCGCATAGACAGCCCTAAACACCCGTAATCCCACTCAAGTTGCATGAGCCACTGCGAGCTGCCGGTTGTAGAGCTCTCCTTCAGCCTGTTCTATGGGCACGGATCCAAGGAGTTTTTGGTTTAGGGTGTAGAGTGAGTGTTTCATAAGAGATTGAACGGGCTCAGGGCCGGTGGCCCAGCGTCTGAAAAAGCCAGGTGGGACGGTTGATGATATAAATCCTGCATTACCTTAAATAAGGAATATACCATAATTCCCTTGATTTAGGGTCCTTAAGGTAATGCTGGATTTATATCATCAACCGGAGGACAAGGCTAAAATGCGGAATCGCAGCTATGCGAATGTTGTTCTGCACGGGAACGCAGTCGCCCAAAACGCTTTGCTACTCGAGGAATACTTGGTAGTTGTTTCGGAAACAGGGACCCTAACAAAGAACCCAAAAGAGTCAAAGTCCTTCCTTATCGTCAGGACACCATGTTGTCGGCCGGTGTGTTAGAAGCTTCATAAGCCATAGAGCCTGAAAACTAAACCCTACCCATCAATTCCGAGTTTGGGGCTTTGGGTTTGGCGCACTGATGGAAACCTGCCATCGTGCCTCCAGCCGCAGTGGCCCAAACTGCTCCACGACCCGTCGGCGCACCTACCCAGAGACCCCAATATCCCTTAATTAAGGAATACTCCTCAAATCATATTAGGGATCCTACTACAATTTAAGGAATACTCCTTAAGTGAGGAATATTCCTCAAAGCATACTAGGGATCCTACTATACTTGCAGGAATACTCCTTAATTAAGGGATATTGGAACCTCTGCGTGGATGCCACAAGCCCTAAGAGTTCCGGGCACTTCCCAGAGACTCCAATATCGCTTAATGAAGGAATATGCCTTAAATCATATCAGGGATCCTACTAGAATCTAGGGAATATACTCCTTAATTAAGGGATATGGGAGTCTTTGGGTTTAGAGTCTGGGACTTCGGGCTGAAGATGAAGGTCTTTCCCAGAGGGCCCAATGCTCCTTATTAAGCAGGGCTTAGGATTATTAGGGTTTAGGATTAATTAGGGTTTAGGGTTTAGGGAGAATGGTTAATTAGGGTTTTGGGTTTAGGGTATTAAGGAGCATACCTTAAACTAGAAGGGGATTCATGTTATGATTTAAGCTATATTCCTCAATTAAGGGGTATTGGGCTCTCTGAGTAGGTCTTTGGGGTTCTAGGTAATCGAAACTGCGATCCATAAGCATTGAATTGCTAGAGTTGAGGGTTTCGGCCTCAAGCCAGCACCGAAGCCCCCCAGAGACTCCAATATCCCTGAAATAAGGAATCTTCCTTAAATCATACTAGGGATCCTGCTATAATTTAAGGAATATTCCTTATTTAAAGGATATTGGGGAGTCTCTGGGCCTCTCACATCCTCAGACGCGAGGAGGGGGGTCAGATCTTGGCCCGAAAACTCCCAAAGCGCCCATCCGAACATTCGGGGTACCTGTACTTTGGGGGTCCTTATAATAAGGATCCTGCTATTTAGGGTACCATATTAAGGGTCCCCTGTTTTCGGAAACTACAAAATCGAGCTTGGCATCTGGGTCTGGAGTTCAGGGTCGAGATACGAAGCCTGTAGCTCTCGTAGGTTCTTCTGCTGACCTGAAAAAAGGCCCAAACCACAAGCTTGAAACCTCGATGTCTCCGGACGTTGCCCCGACTGCAACGACATGCCTAGACATGCAGAGGAAAAAACCCTTCTTGGAGCTGAGCCTAAGTTCTTAGGCTGGTGATTTCGGTTGTGCTGTTTCCAAGGCAGTCTAGAATCTTCAGAGATGCTGCATGGGCTGTCACAAATCTATATCATTGTTGTTAGTTAGCTTCCTGGCCAGCACCGTTGCTATGTTGCTATCTTGTGATGTTATGGCCTAAGTTGCGCGCGATTTATCCGGACCAGACATGGAGTACATGAAAGCCTGCGTTCCCGCTGCACGATGTGTTAAGACGGAATGCTGATGAGCTGCGGTTGTTCGGCTGCGGGACGTACCACACATCCTAGGGCCTCGAGCGCCACAGGACCCTACGCAATGAAGATCTCTCGCACCTCGTCCTGGGACTGATGGACAAGCTCCTGGAAAGCATGAGTGGAGAAAGCATCGTCAAGTTCTTAGCATCCTGTGTCATCACAATTACGCTGCGCGCCAAAGCGCTCGAGAGTGTTGGACTGCGATACTTTCGAAACAGGGTCTTCCAAAACCTGGCCCCACCACGGACATGACTTACATTCACAGAAACCCAATCCTTCCACTCGTGCTTCCGCGATGTCTCGGGAAGGCCACCGCCCCTGCAAAGCCCTACAAAAAGCCGATAGAAGCCCCTGAAACCCCTTTTACTTCCAGTGTTTACGCCTGCACGGTCAATCCCACCATGTAGTACTTATTACACTAAAATTTCCTAAAACATGCTATGTATGTATATATATATATATACACACACATGAATATGACATTAGATTATATATAGCTATATACTATATATATATATATATATATATATATATACATATATATATATATATATATATATATATATATATATCATACTATAATGTACTACGTATAACATCCCATTCCCCATCCCGGTCCTCCACGATCTGCTGCTGAGCTGATTCCGGGTCGGCGCCCTCGGCCACCATCGCGCGTACTCGCCTTGACATACGAGGCTTTCGGCGCCCGCACTCGGACAATCCAGGCGAGGCATGTTATTCGAGGCCTGATGAGTGTCTTGAAACGGTCTAGCGAAAGTTTGGTACGGGGCTTCAGGGTTTATAAGGTCTGTCCAGCTCATGAATTTTCCTGGTTTTAAAGCGCCTTTCTACACCCTTTGTTCCAGGTATCAGACAGCTCATGGGTTTATGTAGGGTATAGGGCTTGACTAACCAATGGTTTTGGGGTTCCCGTGGCTCTTCAGCTCCTTATTAACAAGGGATTATCATCACCCCTGGCTCCTTAGCTCCTCCCATGTCAATGGTTAGTTGACCACCGGCCAGCGGCCCCCATCCTGACAGCCGAGATGCTGGATCAAATCTTTCTGGGATGCCGAGCCGGCATCCGCCTTGGCTTTGTTCAGGGTTTAAAGTAAAAGGGTTTAGGGTTTAGGGGTTTAGGCTTTAGGGGTTTAGGTTTGTAGGGTTTAGGCTTCGTTCAGGGTTTAAAGTAAAAGCCAGAAAGTTGGAATATGATTATCCTAAACCCTTTATGGTAAGTTATAGGGTATCCTACCCTGAAACCATATTCCAACTTTCTCGAGTTCCCTTTAGGGGCTTAGGCTTTAGGGGTTTAAGGGTTTAGGAGTTGAGGGGTTTGGGGTTTAGGGGGTTAAATGTTTAGGGCCTAGGGTTTAGGGTTGAGGGTTTCCGATTGAGGATTTAAGGGTTCAGGCTTGGGGTTTCGGGTTTAGGGGATTTGCTTGGTCTGTGTCGGTTACTGTCAAGGCCTAGTGGCCTAGCGGGGACCTCAAGTCCTTGAGGCTTTGAAGCTTCGAAAGATTGGTTGTGCACCTTCTGTGCTGTCAACGCAACATTGCTAAAGTGTAATGTAGGAACCTGATTAAGAAACCCTGGGCCTGTAAGGTTAAAATAGAAGGATTTATATAAGGAGCCCTAACAAAGGCGCAAGGTTTCTTAACCAGGTTCCTAAATTAGGACTGAACCTGCAAAACCCGAGAAGCCCGCAAAGTCCGCGGGCCATCCTACAGGCACCGATTTAAGTGCAGGGTTGAGGCTTTCGGTGTTCCACATCAGGCCACTTCGAGGGTTCGGCTTAAGGTGTTTAGGGTAGCATGGCATTTAGAGTTAAGGTAACGTGACACTTAGGATCTGGGTCCGATGGTATTAGGATTCAGGGTGCTCTGGTTGTCCATGTTTTCAACGACGCCTCTCTCGTATTGATTCTCTCTCTATCTCTCGCTCTCTGCCGCTGCATCGGGATGGTCCCGCTGAGGGAGGCAGCATTCCGCCAGCAAAACCTGCACAAAATCGCTACCTTTCCTCGCACCGGGTTTACCATTGACAGTGCTCACCAAACGTCTTAAGCTCAAACCTTGCAATGGCTGTAGATTGCGAATCCCAGCAGACTTGATTTCTCCAAGCCTTAGCTCCGGCCGAGTTGCATCTTGCAACATGCCAACCACCTGGACACCAACAGGCGATACCGGGAGTTTAAAGATAATGCAGAACACTGCTACAAGTACACAATGGCTACCTATCCTAATATGGCGGTTTCCGAAAATAGGGGACCCTAATATAGTACCCTAAATAGTAGGATCCTTCTTATAAGGACCCCCAAAATAAGGTACCCCCCAATTTTCGGAAACTCCCAAACCCTAAACCCTTTATAGAACCCTTATAGATCCCTTTAAGGAACCCTTAAATAAGGTACACCCCCCAAGTTTTCGGAAACTCCCATATAAGTGGGACCATAAGTCCTGAAGTTTCGGAAATACCCAGTTACTGGGTTTAGGGTTTAGGGTTTAGGGTTTAGGGTTTAGGGTTTAGGGTTTTAGGGTTTAGGGTTTCCCTAGCTCAGTAGGGACCCAGCAAAGCACCTAAACAAAGATCATCATGTTGGGATACACGCCACTCAAGCAAGCCACTCACTGGCCCAAAACCCCAGGAAATAGTAGAAGTTGAAACTTTCAGAATCGACTACCTTGAAAGATCCTCAAAAGTTGAAAAGTTGAGTTTACAGCCAAATAAGGGAAGGAGATCCCTCTCGAGCTTTATTGTGTGAGTTCCCAAACCTTGCGACGGGAACCATCAAGCCACAGAAACACGAAAGCCCAAAAACTATCTAGAAACTACATCGGCATGTTACACAAAGAGGTAGGTTGTGGTAGGTCAAAGTTGAACTTCCACAGCTCTGAGCTCGAGCATATCCCAGGGCGGAACCTAACAATGGCTGGTTCCAGGATGCTTAAACCTAGACTCAGTGCAAGTTTTATACTAAATACGGAGACAGAAAGAGATAGGGTCCAAAGGCACTGCGGGGGGCAACCTGGCACAGCCTGAAACCGTGAGAGCCCGAAGAGACGACAACCTGCAGATGCCAGCAAGCTTGGATGCCGCGGTGCTCGAGCGGTTTCCTCTTTCTGTATACGGTCGTGCAAATCCTGGGTTTGGCTGCAAGTTGAAGCAGGGAGGGGGAGAGGATCAGAGTATACACTGTGATGAATCAGAACAACATTAACAACATTCCGAGTACGTCTGAGATTTATGGCAAATGAACTAACATCACATGGACCAGGGCACCGTATTGAGTTGGCGTACTTCGGACCTGACCGCTTTGTTACGGCACCAGCAAGCCTAAAAGTGACTTTAATCAAAACGGAACAAGATCTGGAAGCAGAAACGGTAGCACGAGACATAGCAGCCAGGGCCATTCACTGGCGAGAAACGAACAGCAGGTCTGATAGGACGTCTGGAATTTCACGTGTATGATAGCCCAGCTCAAGGCATGCTAACAGATTGCAGTACCTCATGTCATCTGACCCCTTTCCATCTGGATTACAGCACGTCTAGCACATCGAAAGCTCAACCATAAAACTCCAACGCAATGCACTAACCAATGGTTTTGGGGTTCCCTTGGCTCTTTAGCTCCTTATCAAGTAGGGATTATCATCACCCCTGGCTCCTTAGCTCCTGCAATATCAATGGTTAGGCAAGCTTAGAGCCCCAAGCCCTGACACCCAAAGTCCTGCTTCCCCAAGCCGTGCAAGACCCTACATTTCCAATAACACTTTAAAAACCCGCAAAATCAAAGCTTACGAAACCTACTGCATCTTTCGGCTGTCCGAATGCAGTGGCTTGCCAAGCCGAGCGTCCGCATGAAGTTGGCGCAGTCGCTCTTTCAACGGTCCTTCGTGCAGATCTGGGTGCGGTTGAGAGGTTTAAGGAGGCTCGGGGTGCAGTGTAGTCTAGATGCTGCAGGTGTCCATAGGATTTAAGTCAGTTTCGATTTAATGGCTGAGGCGCAAGGCAGAGAAAACAGGCTTCGGAATGGGTCTGGCTGACCAACATGTAGAGCATGAACGACTCAAACACAGCTCGGAGACCCGCCTCTACCCCAAAACCCCATAAGACCTTTTTGCAACAGGCCTTGTTGTCCAGCAGCCCGGTCAACCCAAACACACACTCCCCTAACCATAACACCTAAAACCTAAACCCTAAACACAAAAAACCCAAAATCCTAAACCCTAACCTCTAAACCCTACACCCCTAAACCCTAAACTCTAAACCGTCCCTAACCTCAAACCTCTTCGGCTCGAAGTGCGCTGTGCGCCTTCTTCTGCAGCCAGGAGCTGGAGGCGGTCGTAAGCCCGGCGCTGCACCTTCGGAGAAATTGGGGGCTGCGGGGTCTATCAAACAGCTGGAACAGTCTAAGAGTTGTAGAAGGGAGGCCTTCTACTTGGAGGGTCAGTAAGTAGGTAGTAAGTAGACTTATAAGTACCCTAAAAGGGACCCTAATTGGGGTTATGGTACTTATACGTCCTTAAAATAACCAGGAGTGGTTTTACTAGTAAAGCCGTCTTCTATATTAGGGGTTTTTCGATTCGGGCTGAGGACGAGAAGCAGAACGATAGTAACCGTGCAGCGGCAGAGAAGGAAGAGGCAACCCAAGGCTAAATGAAAACGGAAACCTGAATCCTAACCCATAACCGAAGAGCCTGCTGAAACCCTGAACCCGACAGTAAACCCTAGAAGCCTTCGCCTTAAGCCCGTTCAACCCCAAGAACCCTTGAGGCGCGAGCCTCCACATACTGCTGGAGCTTCGACGCCACCATACCAGGACCTGGCATGTTGGGGTCCGAAGCAACGGGGCACCCTAGCGGTTTTGTGGTTGATGCTTCAGAGGCATTTCGTATTGTGGCCTTCGGGACCCTGAGATGCTCGTCGTTCAGAGCCTTGGTGAGGGAGGCGCTTGTGTTTCGCATTTCGCTGCTGTTGAGGAGACAGGCTTTCGGCAAGTAGTGGGCGGGCGGTCTTGGCGTTTGTACAGGCGGTCGCATCACCGCGCGATCTCCTCGCCCTTGCCAGGACCGGAAAGCCGAACCTCAAAATCGAACGCCCCAAGCCGAAACCTGAAGCCCGAAACCCTAAACCCCCAGACCATCAACCTTACAAATCCTAGGTCTTAGGGTCTTCAGTGAAGACCCTAAGCCCTCAACCCTACTTGGAGAATCGTGAAACTTAGTAGGGTTGAAAGTACATTCCTCGGCGTTATAAGTAACGACAAGTGTAGTTTCCTTGCTAATAACCCTAGCTACTAAGTCAGAGGATCCTTTAAGCCAGCCCTAAGCCATAAACCCTACACCCTTTTTTTGCATCCAGCCTGCAAAGCCTCTGCTACACCTTTAACACCCTAAACCCTAAGCCCTAAACCTTAAACCCTAAACCCTAAACCCTTAACCTGAAACCCTAAACCCTAAACCCCTAACCCTTCAACCCTAAACCCTAAACCCTTAACCTTAAACCCTAAACCCTAAACCGTCTTAAAACCCTTAACCCTAAACCCTAAACCCTAAACCGTCTTAACCTTAAACCCTAAACCGTCTTAACCTTCAACCCTAAACCGTCTTAAAACCCTAAACCGAGGGGCTGAGCTGTCCAACGGTGGACGCCAGATCTTCGGCGATGGAGCCGGAGGTCCCCAACAAACTCTTAGGGGAGCCTCAGATGTCGGCTTTCGTGGGGGTTTAGGGTTTAGGGGTTTAGGGGTTTAGGGTTTAGGATTTAGGGTTTAGGGTTTAGGGTTTAGGGTTTAGGGTTTAGGGTTTAGGGTTTAGGGTTGAGGGTTTAGGGTTTAAGGGTTTAGGGTTTAGGGTTTAGGGTTTAAGGGTTTAGGGTTTAGGGTTTAGTTCCCTCCTACCTAGCAAGGACGAAGCCCGCATTGCAGGGAGTCTCAGAAGAACAGCTGTAGGGCAGTAGCTGCTTAAGAGGGTTTAGGGTTGAGGATTTTAGGGCTTGGGGTTTCAGGGCGTTAGGGTTACGGGTGGGGGAGTGGGGGCGTTACGCTTCGTGTAGCCGTTGTTCATAATCCAGGCTCAATTCTCGGTTGCAACGACGTCCTGATGTAGAGACCTGACTAGATTCATCGAACGCTCTTTCAGAAGGACCATACAAGTAGCTGTGTGGATACTGGCATTCAGGCCCGCTTGAAAAGGTGGGTTTCGAATCGGTGTCTACGTAAGCTATCCGCTTGTTCCGCACATCCCGGACATTGTAGCTCTGATCGAGAGTCTACCTGAGTCTACCTGCAAAGTCCACTCTGCTGACATGTCGACAAACATCCGGAAACCTTCCAACCCAAAGACTGCATGCAAGATTCTTCCACCAACCCCTTCAACTCGAATTACAATCTACGACCTCAAACCCCAAGCACAAAATGCCAAAGCGTTGAAGCTCCCGTTCTACCGAGGCTGAGAAAACATCCACGGCTCGAAGCTATATGAAGGCAAGATAATTAGTTGCAGGCTTTCAGGCCAGGGTATCAGAGCTGATATCAGCTCATAAAAACCGCCCTCCGGCAATCATGGAAAGTTCAGCCTGAAGGACTCAGAAACGCCCTTTTTGCCACTGGACTCAAGTCTAGCCAGTTTAAGAAACGCCCTAAACCCTAAACCCTAAAACCCTAAAACCCTAAACCCTAAACCCTAAACCCATAAACCCTAAACCGGTCGAATCTCCTGGCTGCCGCGGCGTCGTCGGGCTGGAGCTTAGCTTCTTGACCTCGATCCATGCTCCAGTTCTCCTACGCCCCACACCCTACAGTAAAAGCCAGAAAGTTGGAATATGATTATCCTAAGCCCTTTATGGTAGAATATAAGGTATCCTACCCGGAAACCATATTCCAACTTTCTGGAGTTCCCAGTACCTGCCGAATGCCTAAACCGCGAAATTATGCTACATCCTAAGCCCCTAGAGGCCCCACTAGTAGGCAAGAGCCCCCTAAACACTAAAACCGCTAAATTATGCGAAATCCTAAGCCCCTGGAAGTCCCACTAGTAGGCAAGAGCCCGCTAAAGCCTAAAACAAACTGCAGCACCGTGGCGAGGCAGGGGCGGAAGGTGCAGTCGCGGAGCCTGCAGTCCGTGCACGCAATCCGCAATCCGACAACTGCCCTAGCCGGATCCTCAAAGGCTGTGAAGCCTGCGGCCCCTCGGCCCCTGATGGGGTTACCTTTTAGGATCCTTAATATAAACTCGGTTAAGCCAAAAAAGGCACTACAATGGAGACTATAAGTTGTGACCAAAGTTGTGCTTAAGCGCATTTTTCTCACAGCGTTCCAGAGATATTTAATCGGGGTTTCATTCTCACAACTCGGACAATCCAGGCGAGGTGTATCGGGCTTAGTCAGCGTGAACCAAGTGGAGCCTCTGGTATTTCTACGGTTTAGCTTAGGTTACTGCAAGGGCTGTTATAATATCAGGATCTATCAGGCAAAACTCGGTGATCCCTGGTACTAGGGTCCCTCATCGAAGTCCTTAGACTGAACCCCACCTCAAACCAATGCCGATAGGTCAAGGGTTTTTGACCCTTTTTCCCCCTGGAAAAATCCCTAAACCATTAGCCTTAAACCTTAAACCCTAAACATTAAAACCTAAACCCTCAAACATGCTTCAGTCCTTACGCCTACTTGTGGGGAAAAGGGGAGGCGAGGGTTGTACAAGTGCAGCTTCTTCCGGACGGGAGGTGCTTCGGGAGCCGGGTTTTACGCTCTGGGTTTGGGTTTAAAGGCTGAGGGTTGTCCTGCACATTTGAGTTAAAGAGCAGCACAACGCGCGAAAGAGGACTACAGCTTCATGTGGGCATCATTCTACCAATGATTTTTATTTCGTCTCAATCGCACCTGCAAATGAAGTCATGTTCCGACAGGTGCCTGACAGGGAGCCCTACTACCACAGAACCTCCACAGCCGAAATATCCACTGTCGGCAAGAACCTACGTACCCCATGTCCTAGCCGAGATCAACTTGTATTGGAGCTAATCATGAACCACAACATGCCCTTTGGACCCTAAACCCTCAACCCCCTACAACCTGTAAACCCCCAAAACCCCCTAAACCCAAAAAGCCCATAGTCAACCCTAATCCCAAGAACCTACAGTCAACCCTAAACCCCGGACGTTTTGGGGTGAGGATCGGCAAGGTCTGCCAAGACGCTCGTCCATTTCCCTTATCTTCTGCTCCTCCGGAAGCCTGGGTGAACTCTGCGGTTTAGGGTTTTCGGCGCTCGCACTCGGCCGGAGCAGGCGAGGCATGTGTTTCGAAGTCTACGTTGCGGTGAGACAGTGTGGCAGCAGCCGTTGGCCACAGACAACGATCCGACGATACAACCCTCGGGGTTTAGGTGTTTTAGGGGTTTGGGTTCGGGGGTTTAGAGGTTCGGACTAATCAGTGTAAGGCGGCATCTGGAGGTACCCAGGCGGACCACTCTTCCCTGCTTGCGAATCTAGACAACTTTCAGGGGTGTATGTGAACCCTGACACCCTCAACCCTTCCCAACTTTGCATCCGGGCTGTGAACCCGGAGAGCCCAATACCCCTTAGTTCAGGAATATACCTTAAACAATAAGGGGGTTCAAATTCTGATTTCAGCTATATTCCTTAATTAAGGGGTATTGGGCTCTCTGGGAAGCTCCTTTCCAAACCCTAAGCCCTAGGCCCTAAACCCTGAACCTCTTACCAAAAATGGCTGAGGCTTCCCTCTTGCAACACCCGCTCCCTCGGGCCTCGATCGGTGCTCCTGGCGACGACGAATATTCTCCTGCAGCTAAGAACTAGAAGCGGATTTTGGGCTACATGGCTATACAAAAGTGATTACCCAGAGAGCCCAATACCCCGTAATTAAGGAACATACCCTGAATCACAAAATGAGCCCCCTTATAGCTAAAGGTACATTCCTTAATTAAGGGGTATTGAATACCTGACCTGACGACTCTAGCATGCCAGACTGGTCTCCGGCATTTCTAGCTCTTTGGGGCCACGACATGCCGCAGGCGGCAGGGGCTTCCTGGTTTCTGGCGCTGGACTCTTGTATTTACTTACTCAGAGAAACCGCATACTCTTATTGCTTCAAAGTTCTGCGTACACCCAGAGAGCCCAATACCCCCTTCATTGAGGAATATACCTTAAACTATAAGGGGGTTCATACTATGCTTTAAACTATGTTCCTCAATTAAGGGGTCTTGGGCTCTAGAACCCTCGACTGGAATCTGAAACGCCAAACCCTGGAACGCGCTTGAAGGTCTACCAAGCCTTCGATGAAGGAATGTTAAAACCCACTGGGCGCTGTAAGGGAGGATGCCGCCGAAACGCAGCTATGCATGTAGGGATAGCTAGCTAGCTAGCTAGCTATCTAGATAGATGGATAGATAGATGAGATAGGTACGTAAACGAAGTGAATGTGTATATTTGTATATACACACCTAGACTCGTTTGAAATTCATAAGCGACCCACAATATAGGCCAGTAGGCTTCTAGAGAAACTGTAGTGTCACAGGGCTCAGCCCGAGGCACTGCCGAACTCATGGGCGAGGCAGCAAGCTGCAATTCGTCCAGTGGTTTAGGGGTCAGGACCTGAGTTTTAGCGAAGGGGGTTGAGTTTTGCCTCCTGTTGATTGTAGAGCTTTGCCTCCTGTTGATTGTACATTTAAATTTTATTGCCGAGGGTTCTGAAAGCCTGTGCTTAATCACACCGCGTCTTGTCACCCTCTGCTTTTGGAAGTCCCGCCTGTTCAAACCCCAGTGAACAGCAGGAACTACAATGTGAAGAAACCAAGATCCCCACTCCCACAAGCCTACAACCCAGAAATGACCACCACACCCTACAGTACATAACCGTAAGCTCATACCTTCGCCCGAGTGACATGCCTCAACCAAATGTCCCAAAAAACAAACCATAATGTAGTCTTAATAATCAGAGTAAGGTTGTCGGGCCCATCATACTATGCTGCTTATGATAAGGAACTGCCAAAATAGCATGGGTAATTATCAAGGCCCCTTTATTACCACCCAAAGCCCCGAATGTTAAACCTTCCAGGAGGAGCTTATACCCCTTAGAACCATCATAAAAAGTAGTATGTTAAATATTCTCTTGGGCTTTACCTAAGGAGACCACAGGAGCCTCCTCGCGCTCCAGGTGAGACCTCGAGTCCACGTTGCCCCGGTAGTAGCGCCGGCGCTGCCTCGGTCTAGACTCGTCTAGCACTTCCAGGCTACTGTAAGCTACCAAAAACGACCTCTGTGTAGTTTCTTATAAAAAATGGGATTATAAGGCTCCGACACAAAGGGGATTTTGGTGGGTGAAGGTACTTGTACATGTACACAGATAGGTATGCGTGCCGTTCATTCACATGTGATATACGTACACATGTACATGTACATGTATCTGTACATCTACATAGACATATACATGTACACGAATCAATGCAGAAAATGTACAGGTACATGTACGCACACATTTGTGCATACCTATACACTTACATGGCTTCTCGGACGCAAACATATGTGAAATTGCATGCGCATGTAAATGAACGTGTTCATGCATGTACACAGATGCTTATACATATACATCAACCTATCTCTATACCTCTGCCTATACATACACACACAGACGTATACATGTTTGTACGTCTAGCGTTGCATTTTGCCGACTCCCAGTGGTAGCTCCGGCCAAAAGCCCGTTTCGGCATCTCAAACCTACGGCTCTAGATCTCCCAAATATACCAAAAAATGGAATATGCCCGGAATAAAGGCTTTCGTTTTTTGGGGCTTAAGGCTTTAAGCTTTAGGTAGGGCTTAGGACTGGGCTAATGGCTTTGGTGTCATGGGGGTCTTCTGGGAGTTGATGAAGAAGAGGGCCGGTAACAAAGTCTTGTATGGATGCTGTACGGATTGAAGTGGGGGTTCAGGGCTCCCGAAAAGCCCAACACACCTTACAAGCAAGCAAGCAGTAGCAACTGCCGAAACCCTCAATCCCCTAAACCCTACAGAAAACCCCAAAAAGTTGGAAACCCCATAGCCTCAATCCTTAACCGTAATGTATAAGGAACCCAAGCACTACTTGGCCTTAATCAGGTTTCCAACTTTATGGAGTTTAATGTAAGAGTGGCTTTATTAAACCGGGTGACAATTAAAATATTCCCCGGGCCAGAATTTCCGGGCGCAAGAGGAGTTTAAAGGCAAGGGCAGATTTGGCCAAACAACTGATCATAATTTTCCAGTCGCAATAATAAACGGGGTGACAATTAAAATATTCGGGCTCGGAAATCCCCAAAATTCTACAGACGAGGCTACGTATTTAGCAGAGACTCAAACAAAGAGGACCCTAACCCAGCCAGCAGAGTGCAGTTCGGCACAGACGACACTGAACTACTAGCTCGCAGAGTGCAGTTCCAGACTGTTTCAACTACACCCCTCGGCAGATCCAATGGCATCCAGAGATCTGTGAAACAGAAGAACTCAGGCTGCCTTAGGCGGCAGACCCAGCTCCAGACGCAGTTTGTTCAGCAGATACCGCTCCAGCTTCGCAGGATCACAGTCCAAACATCCACTTTGCCAGTGGCATCTGGAACAGACGCCCAGGCCTGTCAGACGGACGTGCTCGATGCGAGATTTGTCCTCTTCAGACAAATCACTGGCCTCAGGCTCCTTGTTCAGAGTGAGGAGCTGCTTGGCCAGATTCCAGAGCTTCAGGCCTGTGGCAGAGGCCTCTGCAGACTTCGCTGCCAGTTTTTCAGAGCGCAGGCGGTTGCTCTTCAGAAGCTTGTCCAGAGACTTCTCCTTGTCCAGAAGCTCTTTTGAGAGCTTGGCCTGCTCTCCAGACAGCTGGATGAGCCAGGCCTTCAGCTCAGACATGATCTCCAGAACCAGCTTGTGGCGAGAGCCATGAGAACAGGGTCCTTCCAGACAGAGAGGGTACAGGATCCAGAGCATGTTGGCCAGAACCCAGAAGCCGCACTCGTCAGACTTCTGGGTGCCAGAGGAGCTTCTCTCTGGCAGAGTCTCTGCCGGCAGAAGCAGAGACAGAAGCCTGGCAGCGTTCACAGAGCACTCCTCGTGCTTCTCAGACAGGCTGTCCAGATACTTCACAGAGAAGCTTTCCGAGAGGTCTTCTCGCTGCAGGACCAGAAGGGTCCAGTGGTTCGGAGAGTGCCCCCAGACGGGCACGAACAGCAGCTTGTTCTCAGAGCGAAGTCTGTCCAGAGCAGTCTGCAGAAGCTCGGGGCGGTCGTGTTCGGCGAGGAGCTGCCCAGAGAGCTTCGGGTCCACCATGCAGATCTTGTTGTCCAGGAACCAGTTCTCGTCGGAGTCGCTCAGATTGTACCGCAGAAGTTCCCAGCCGTACCGAAGATGCTGGTCCAGAAGCATCTGCGGGAAAGACTTCTTGAACTTCAGCAACTCCACAGGCTCCGCAGCGAAGAACCCACCAGAAGCCTCCAAAAAGAGGGCTGAGCCACCGCAAGCTCGCAGAACAGTCTGCTTCAGCTCCCTCTTCAGGCGCAGATTCTTCCACTTCTTCGGAGTCTGCCAGAGTGGATCAACCTCGCAGACGTCCTTGTCAGAGAGGATCACGGTGGCACAGGCATCCCCTACACCTGAGCAGACAATGAAACAGAAACTGTCTTAATTATTGAAGAAAATAAATTAAATGCGACTCAGTGGCCAATCAGAGACACCTGGTTCGTCAGAAGGTTGTGCATAGAGCACTTGCCAGACTTGCCACAGGTGTGGTCCTCTCGCAGAATCCTGCAGACTCGGCCGTAGAGAGGGCCCTTCGTTGCCTCCTTCAGCTCAGAGGCCTTCTCAGCGACGGGGTCAGCAGGAGCAGGGCCAGGAACCAAAGCAGAGTCGCCGGAGGGCTTGTCGTCCAGAGCCTTGGCCTTCGCCAGAGCCTTCGCAGCGTGGGCCAGGGCCGTCTTTTTCTTTTGCTTCAAAACGGCCTTCTTCACGACAGAGGGCTTCTTCTCAGAGGCTCTCGGCACCAGACGTTGCAAAGCTTGCTGTCGGGACATCTGTGTCAGACGATGCCTCATGGCTTCCAGAAGCTTTCCTCGAAGCTTCCGCTTGGCCAGAGTGATCATCTGCTTCACGTCTCGCTTGACAGTTTTCTTGTGCAGAGTGTCTTTGTCCGCAGAGAGCTGCTTCTGCCAGGCTGCACGTTGCAGGTCCAGAGAAAGTGTCAGGACGCCAGATTCGATGCAGGGGAGCTGCAGATCCAGTGGCATCTCGTGCACGTTCAGAAGGGCCTCGGAGACCTGGTTTTCCAGAGCCTCGTCCTGCGAGTCCGAGTGGTAGTAGCTCCATTCCACCAGATCCGCCACGACTTTGGCTCCGTGCAGAGCAGACCAGTCCGGCTGGGCTGGAATGCCAGATGCATCCAGCCAGGAGTAGCGGTCCTTCAGCCAGGCTGGCTTCGTCCTTGCAGAACCTCGGCTGCCAACATGTCGAGGAAAAAAAAAGCTACAGATTACTTGAAGCTGGAAAAATAGAGGAGAGCAGAGCGGCCCATGGAGGCGCCGCAGCAGTCTTCGTCTTTCAGAGGCACCAGAGTCTGCTTGGTGAAGTCCGGTCTGTAAGCCAGCAGACCGTTGCGGCGAAGACCAGACACGATCCAGTCTTTGGAGGCCTGTCGCTCAGACATCTTCGTCTGAGCTTGCACCACAGCCGTCGCCATGTCCAGATGGCTCGCTCGCCAGAACTCCTTCTCGCCAGCTGCCAGCAGAGCAGTCTGACCGGCATGCCTGCAGGCACGTATGGTTTAGGACAGTGTAATTAAACCGGACATCAGAGAAGGGAAGCAAAAACAAAATGATTAGAGCAGCCTCAGGTCGTCCATGGCAGACCTTGCCAGACTTTTGAAAGATCTGGCATAGTCTGTGTCAGTCAGTTGCAGACTCGCAGTCAGTTTCGGTCCAATGACCGTCTGCAGACTCTGCGAGTAGAACAGAGACTCTGCCCCAGAGACAGACCAGGCCGCCGCGAAGCAGTCGCGGACATGGACAGAGGCAGGTGCCAGAGCAGCCAGCTCCTCCTGAGCCCAGGCGAAGATGATGCCATCCACATTCGCAGAGGGCTGGCTCATCAGACTGATCTGGCGAAACAGAGAAGGATCCTTGTCCCGGGCCTGCCTCCAGCCACGGAGCAGATTGCCAGCAGAAGAGCCTGCTTTGCGGCAGATCATCTTGCCAGAGAACTCAAACGTCTCGTCTCGCAGAAATCGACCAGAGCTGTCGATGTTGTTCAGACGAGCGTGAGAGCCGTGCACCACCAGAAGACCAGGCAGAACTTGCCCGCTCAAACCAGACTCGCCCTCCAGAGCAGGGTCTTTGCAGAGGCCGTACAGAGCTTGCCTGGCCTCGTAGGTGACACGGTAGCGCACAGAGTCCGCGTCCAGAAAGGCCCTCTTCTGCCTCTGACCAGAGGCACGGGCAGCTTCAGCAGACGGCTTCACAGCCTGCAGCAGAGGTGCCACCAGATCGCCAGACTTCACCTGGTCAGAGGAGGTCAGATGGTGATTCTTCAGAGCCTCTCGCAGATGCTGCTGGGGCAGAGGGTTGTGCTCCCACTCAGCAAACAGCTCTCGCTCGCTGCCAGACTTTATCCACAGAGGGATTTGGTCGGAGCAGATCACGACCAAATCAGAGACATGGTCTCTGAACTCAGAGGGCTTGGCAACCCTGGTCGCCAGATCCTCCAGAGGTGCGAAGCAGGCTGTCCACAGAGTGCGGTCCAGACTCTGGTAAGTGAGCTTCGCAGAGACCATCTCCTCAGACTCAGACAGCTTCGTCTTCAGATCCGGCTCCAGATTCTTGGCACCGACATCCAGCAACAGCTGCCTCAGACGGTTCTTGCCAGAATCTTTCGCAGCAGACTGCAGCTGCTTCTCGCCTTCAGAGATCTTTTGATCCAGACGACCCCGCTCGAAGGAGTCTGCAGAGGCACTCTTCGCAGACTTGAGCTTCAGAAGCTCCTGGCTCAGCAGAAGCTGCCACTGCGACAGCAGATGCCGCTTCTTCACAGAGTGCCCGTAGGCACGAGACTCCTCGAACCAGGTCCGCAGAGCGGTCTTCACGGCAGAAAACTCTGTCTTGCGGCCAGCTCCTGTCAGACGGAAGCCTTGCCCTCTTTTTCTGGCAGTAACCTTCGCACGGCCCTTACCAGACCTGGCAGAGAGGTGCTTGCCAGGGAGCACAGAAAAGTTCCGCGCAGACTGTTGCAAGAGAACGTGGTCTCTTCTAGCCCAGAGCTTCTTGACGTACTTCTTGTCCAGACCAAGTTTCTGGCTCATGCTTTTAGCAAAGTCCTGCTCAGAACTAAAGCCAGGCATCTCTGTCCTCATCTGCTTCAGAACACGGGCTTGCACTGCCAGAGGCATCTCTGCAGAGCGCTTCTTAGAAGGAGCTCCAGGCAGATTCTTTGGTCTGCCAGTGTTCTTCTTCTTCGCGTAGCGTCGCTGAGCTTCCAGACGAGCTTCTTCGTCAGTCTGTTCTACAACAGACTCTCTTGCCACTTCTGCCAGAATCTGCTTCATGGCAGCGGACAGTGGCCTGCCCTTGGGCTGAGCTTCCTTCTCCAGAGGAGGCTTCTCTGCTAGAGGGTGCTCAGGCTTCCAGAAGTGCAGCAGTCTCTTCTGCTTTCCAGAACCTGCTGCGGTTGAATCAAGAAACAAGAAAGAAGCCTTGTCACTTGCATGAAAACATATCAGTAAATAGTCAGTAATTTTGTCAACTGGCAAAGACGTGATGTTAGTAGGAAAACAGAGGCTTTGGTATTCGAGAGCTGCTGGCTTTGGCAAGAAGCCAGGGACTCCGGATTCCAGGAACTGCAGCAGCTAAACTTGAGGTCGGTTCCTTATTCCAATTCTATATAAACGGAGCCATTTCACAAAGCCGGCAAGGGTAACCCTTTGC